TTCCACCCATGCACAAATCTACACCACTGTTTGTACTGACCACAAAATCCATGGTTTGTGTAAGGCTTCTGTTTTATTTCTTCATTTAAAATAAATAGCTTTTTGAATGATACCATGCGGCCTGGTTGGTGACAACAGACAGAAAAAGGATGCTTAATGTGGGTCAGCTGAGCAAAATGGTTGAAACCAGTTTGAACCAGACAAGCTGTACCCATTTTTTTCTCACCACATTTTAGTGGTTAAAGCAGAGAGAGGCTCTCAGATGCAGGTTAAAAAGCACCCCCATCTCATTTCCTCTTAGCTAAACTGATGTCACAGTGGAAACAAAACATGTAGTGTATTTGTTTTTAGTTTAAATTTTAGGATAAATATTAAAACAAGGATTATCATGACAAGAGTAGTTTGGCTCTTTCTGGTTCGTAAAACAAAGAAGCATTTCTCATTGCCTCACTTTATAGACTTATGAAAAAAGAAACATTTCTTTAAAGCTATAGGGGGCAAAGCCAAACCACAGTGTCTCACAGAATCAAGAAGGAGGCGTGTCCAACGAGATGTGACTATGACGTTTGACTATGATCAAAGTGTCAATCACCAAGAGAAAGAATGGAACCAATGACTCTGCTGTGGCTACTCTGTAAGTACAGCATTTTGAATTAATACTACACTAGCTGACATCTGCATTGCAGTTCTGTTGTCTCATTTAGGGTACCAGTTATGATAATTGAGTTTGTTTCCAATAACATTTACTTTCATTTAAAACATTCTGGTACCCCTATAGCATTTTTCAGCTCCCAGAATATTCTTTAACAAAGTCTAAAAAAATTAAAAAAAGAGAATTTGGGAAACAACAGTCTTAAATATATATATATTAAGGTCCCCACAAACTCTAACCAAGTTACATTTTAGCTTCATTTTATGTTTTTAATATAAAATGAATTTTTAAATTGATATTTTTAAAAAAGTATGTTATTAAAACACTCCTTTGCTTTTACTGTGTTTCCAGTTTTGAAAGATGACTTTCAAAACACATTTGCTGTGAAATAGAAATAGGTTCATGACGAGCTGTCAAAGGCTGAACAAACAACTTTTCACTGCATTTGATCTGCGATGCTGTGGAGTTAAAAGATTTAAAAGTGGAGTTTAGTGACTTTAAACATGCTTTTAATGCGTTGTGCATGCCTTGCTGAGTCTAAAACCTGGAACTAACCTGAGTATCATTTCTCTTTAGTTGTGACCTTATTACTGATCTGCACAACAAACCAAGGTCAGTAAACTGCTGTCAAAGTTGGAAACTCAGCAGCTCTAATAAAAGAAAAGTCTGTAAAGTGCTTCAGGAGAGCTCATAGAGGCTTTTCATTGGTGGGATAGATCAGAATTGTATCTTGCCTGCAGTTAACTCCATATGAAAATGCATTATTTTTAGATATTTGTCACCTTTTCATTTTTCAAAGTAATGGGATCCAGAAAAGAGAAGTAGTGACACGAATGGAAGAATTTGTGGGCATATTTCAAGTGCAATATACTGCAGGCCAGCAGATACACGTTACTGTTGCATGTTGTGGTGAAACTCAGAGACATCACATCCTGTCCCACTTTCATGTCACACTCAGACAGTACAACTTTAACCCCTTAACATCCAGAGCCTTTTTTGCAAAAAAGATGATATTCTTGGAAGGACTGTGTTTGTTTTGATGCATCCAGATTTGCATATTAACAATCATGAAACTGAGCTCTTTCTTAGGCAGTGGTGCTAGTTTCAGCTATTATGCAAATATGCTTAAAATAATGGATTGATTCATTCACTCTCACATTCACACACTGGTGGAGGCAGCTACAGTTGTAGCCACAGCTGCCCTGGGGCAGACTGACAGAAGCGAGGCTGCCATATCGCGCTATCGGTCCCTCTGGCCAACACCAGTAGGCGGTAGG